CTAATTCGTTGATATAGATATTGAACAGTGTTGGGCTCAGGCTGCAGCCCTGTCTCACCCCACGGCCTTGGGTGAAGAATTTGGTCCTTTTGTTTCCACTTTTCACTGCACATTTGTTCTCTGAATATATTGATTTAATTGTCTTACTCTCTCACTCTCCCTGAGGGGCTGTCACTGTGTGCGTGGGGATATTCCCAGTGGACTCTGTCTGTCTCTGTGTTGGGGGGACATTCCCAGTGGACTCAGTGTCTCCCCCTGCTGGTTATCTGTGCAGCTCTCCCTGACGGAGGATTTCCGCCGCCTGCGCGCTGTGGTCGAGGAGACAGGCCTCCTGCAGCCCCGCTGGCTCTTCTTCCTCGCGGCTCTAGCCCACATCCTGCTGCTGGACGTGCTGGCTTGGCTCACCCTCTGGCTCGGAGGCGCCTCCTGGTGGGCCTTTGCTGTTACTGCGATTCTACTGAGCACTGTGCAGGTTTGAGCCCCTGATCCTTCCGTCTGCCCAGAGCTGTTCCAGTCAGTCGCTCAGTCGCAGAGCCTGTGTCTCCTCTCCTTTCAGCCTCCAGCTCTCCTCTCCTTGCTCCTCTCTGCTGTTTCAAGGCAGGCTCTCCTCGTGATGTGCTGTTTTCATTAACAGAAACACTATTAAATGAATTGAGTGCTGTTTGATGCTGTGTTCAGTGTTATTTTGTGCCGTATTCAATGATCTTTCTCTCTCAGGCCCAAGCTGGGTGGCTTCAGCATGATTTCGGTCACCTGTCCGTGTGCGGGACGTCCCGCTGGAACCACCTGTTTCACAGATTCGTCATTGGACACCTGAAGGTCAGGGTGGGACTCTTTCTGACCAGTTCAGTACAGCCCAGTACATCCTGTCCTGGTCCAGTCCAGTTCGACTTGGTGGAGCCCGGTCGTACCGGTACCGGCCCAGTCCAGAGTACCGCAGCGGGTCCTGGGGCAGTGGTGCTCATGCGCTCTCTGTCCTGTAGGGGGCTCCAGCGAGCTGGTGGAACCATCTGCACTTCCAGCATCACGCCAAGCCCAACTGCTACCGCAAGGACCCAGACATCAGCATGCACCCCCTGCTGTTCGCCCTGGGAAAGACGCTCTCCGTCGAGGTCAGTACCTCGTGCCGCCACTGGGGGGCAGACAGTCGCACTCCGGGCTTCCCGAACGGCGCGTGCTTTAACCTGTGTGCCTGTCGTTCACAGCTGGGAGCTCAGAAGAGGAAGTACATGCCTTATCAGTACCAGCACAAATACTTCTTCTTCCGTGAGTCCCTGCGTATCTTC